CTGGAAATAACGATTTACTTATTCGATGATCCTACAAATTTTAATTTTTACTCCAACCACCGTGCGGGACTTGTCAAGCACATGTTTTCTACCCGTGATAAATCATTGTTCATTTTCATTGTTTATGTTCTATCACTAACAGCTCAGCATTTGTGTGTATGCAATATGTGCACTATGTAAACCGTGGGCCTCTTGTTGGTGAAATTCACGTAGCTGAGCAAAATTGGCAGAACCAAAAGCTTTGCAAACTCCCTCAACATGCAAATAACCTTGGCAAGCAGGTAGGCTAAATGCAACCGCCAGCAAACTATAATTTCACAGTGGGGCAAAATTTCCCCAGCGTTTAGCCTTTCCAACATTACTTTGGCGGGGATGCCTGTGGTGCACTATCCTCCACACCTTCAACTGACATTAATTCCGCAATGTATATGTCCTCCGTATCCACCATTCGCAATCACAAGTTCCAAATGCCACTGCGCTACTTTCTTCTACATGAATTCCTGTAGGTAAAGCAACGAAGAATAAGACAGTGCACTTACTTTTAATTGTTAAATAAAATGCGCTTTTGTGTGCTATTCTTCACCTTCCCTCTCCTGCTGTAGTACTTATAACAGAAATATTTTTGCCTTTTCATAATTCGATAGTTGCGCAGAAACTTTTCTGCTTAAATAAATAAAAAATGGTACATCCCTCGGCGATGCGAGGTGCAGTCCAACTATGTGGTCTGATCAATGTCTACAGCAGGATCGCAAAAATTAATCAGTTTGTTCACGCCTTTTACGATGGATCCAAAACGGATATTAAAGTAATTGGCAGGATTAAGGTACTAAAGAAATTAAAAAGTCAGAAACAAGAACATATGCAGATTTAAACAAATGTTCTTAACTACAGCCTCAGTCCCTTATAACAGAAACATTGTGTTTAGCGAAGATGCCGGAAAAATTGTACGAGATATTAGGTTGCAAAATCTCTCATAATGACCGCCTTTATGGGAAAGGTGGTGGAGGTCTAATCTACGTCAAAAACACATAGTTAGTTCGTTCTCTGGATGAACCACTCCTACGAAAAATTCTTGATCCGGTGTGAATTATCATTTATATCTATTCGACGAACCTCTTAGTAGGCTGCATTTACGGACCCACTTCATCTGCAGTCGCCGTAATTGATGAATGAATAAAACGTTTCTCTTTTATTACCGACCTCCCATACACTAAGGAAATTATTGCAGGGGATTTTAATATACCCGAAATCCCGTGGTCCCTTAACAGTCAACCACAAAAGCGTAGCACTTTGATGCCTATCCTTGGTCGACTAGGATGGGTTTGACAAGTCAAAGAGCCTTCCAGGCTTGGTAACACTCTTGATCAACTATTTCGTATGGGATGTTCGAATGTGGCCACAAGCAAAGTGACAGATTACAGGGGAATGATCATAACAACTTTGGTAGTTCTTTCCAAAGTCTTTCTAAACCGATAGAATCGGTGATCAAATACCAGCTATTGTTTTCAATGATTTATCCAGTATTCACGGATCTCATAAGTCTTCAAATAGGACCCATTTTCCTTATCATAACAAAGACAATTTGCTTGCGTTGCATTTTACCCCCTTATTCAGCTTTGCATTGAAGTTCTACCTCCAGAACCCAATAAGTAGTTGAAAAGGGCTGCAGCACGTGCAAGTATCTCCAATAGGTTGCCACTAAACCACCTAAAACGAAAAGAATATTTGGAAAAACATACGATTTTACTCTAGATGATCAATACCAGAAGGCTAACAGCCTTAGACCATGATCACAAAATCTTACGCTTTGAGGAGGTAATGGTACTGAAGACTGCAAAGCTGACAGGCTTTACCACAAAACTTTCAGATCGTGGGCAGAACAGAAAATCAAATTATATTAATTCGATTGAAAACTCAGATGGAACCGTCATAACCAATATCGAAATCCTATTTTCCATCTTCAATGACTATTTCATATCTATCTACAGTACTAATGCAAGAGGGGAGCTTCACCCCGAACTTATGAACAAAGGAAGCTAGACACTCCAAACTGTTGAATTCAAACTTGGCGATATCTGTCGCCAGCTCAGCTTAAATTAGCTATCATGCTCACCAAAACCTGACAACATCTCGCCAATTCCGGTCAAAAAAGAGAGTCCAAACATCCACTTCTTTCTGCTTAACCTACGTAAGCTTTTCGTGATCAAAAGACAGTGTCCTATGCATGGGAAATGACAGATTCTAATACTATGACAGAAAAGCGATTCACGCAAGATATATAATTTTTCCCATCCAATACACCCTCACATTTATTTGCTCCAGGATTATGCAGAAGTAAGTTAAAGAACACACACTAGAACATGAGTTTTGTGAGCTTTAGCAGTAAACGTCAGTACGTTTAGGTAAGGTAGATCATGCATCACCTGTCAGCCAAATTATCCTGACTTTGTAACTAGAGACAAAGACGCCGGAAGAGCTATCCTTGTAATATTTCAGTGGCTCGGAAGGCAGCGATCACACAGCAGACTGAAAAGAAACTAAAACGAGGGAGGACCAAAACGTGCGCAAACATCATAGAGGAGATCGGAGAGCCCAACCCCAGCCCAACAATACGAGCAGAGAGCGGAACGCGAGCAACGAACGAGAACGTGCCTGATCCAATGAGTACTGAAAAGGGATAGGCCAATATATCAGACCGAAAAACCTTTGTCGGTGCACCCTAGAGTAACCCAAAGCCGAATAATGAAACTGAGATCAACCCTTTCAATAGCTTTAGAACAACTCCAGGCTGGTCAGAATTCAAGCTACGGAAGCAACGCTATGGGGTCAGACAAGCAATCAGGACCATGACATCATCCGTCCGAAGAGGTACGAGTGCGGCTTGTGAGCGCTCATGCATATTGTGTTATGGGACGAAAACGTGGTCGATAGGTGCGCGCGTGCGCGCAGCGTGTGCAAACCATGGTCGCGTACGCAATGATTGTGTTTTAGTGCCTCTTCGTTCTTGCTGCAACCTTGCTACCTCTGGGATCACTTCAATACTTATAGATGATCCAAGAAAACGTGCTGGGTCCGCTTTTATTTTTAATCTACCTCAACGATCTCCTTAAAGAAAAGATATTCGTGCTGCCATTATTCTTCACATTTGATGTCAAAACCGTGTATTGTTCCGTTCCTGAGCATGTTAGTCCTAATTCAGCCTGTATTCAGTCGGACTTGTCAGCATTAGAGCACGGGGGAACTCTGGAAATTTGCACCTTGCCAATGACAATAATAATATATTGTGCTACTGTGACCTGCCTCCGAACATGCTAAACTTAAACAAAACTTTCATTCCTGTGGATAGCGTCGTCCGGACTTTAAAATATTCCGCCTTATTTAATTTTCCTGTGTAATTTTTATATTTAGGCAGGCTTCTACTAGAAAAGTGATCGTCTACATAAACCGAACTCTTATCCTAAAGAATTTCAGGCTTCAATCCTCTAAAATATGTGTTAGGCCGAAGCTTGGACACTGTACAATTTTTTAGGGAACTGTTCGGAAAGTGAACACCTTAGCACTGGAAAACATCTAACGATCACTCACAAAGATTTTTTACGTATTTAACATTATAACTTATCGTGAGCTTTTCGAAGCTCTAAAGCGGCAGCCGCTATGGCTATGCAGGCTCAAACTTAATCTGTGCCTTCTGTACCGCTTATTATTCAGCTTAAGCGTTGTAACTTAGCAACAATTCGAGTTTCAGGCTCTCAGGTGCTATGACTTCAGAAACAGCGAGCGCATGTTGCATATACAAAAGTCTCGTACCAAGCTCCGCACAAGTTTTTCTCAGTAAAATAAGTACTATTATGAACACAACGTCCATCGAATATCAGAAACTGGACTGCCTATTCGCAATTCAAACGGGTAATCAATGTTCACTTGACTGTTTCAAATAGTTAGTCAGCAAGTAGCCAAAAGATGTCGCTGGATGATATGTTTGAAAAAGGTCGTGGATACACCTGAAGATTGTCATATCCCTTAACGCGCGAAATATTATAATTTTATCTACACATGGATTAATTCTTTATTATGTATTTATAAATATAATTGTCCCACCATTCCTAACTCCTGTCTAACGACAGCTGTGTTTAATTTGACGTCCTGGTTCGGAGATGAAGTACGCATTTCAAGCTGAAATCTCCGTACCATCGTCGTTATACGCTAAGGTATTCTATCGAATTTTGGTTGGTCTGATACGAAAATATTGCAATTGTTATAATGCATTTTAATTCCTCATACTTTATTTTCTTCCTTACTCAATTGTTGCCTACTACTGGGCTGATCTCTTGTGGTGACTAATTACAGCCACCAAACTAAAAAATATGGTATACCCACTCAAGTCCTACTACCACTGACTGCCACTGGCAAAAAACAAAAAAGCGCCCACCTTGAAGGATACGCATGACGGAGGGGGTGAGGTTTCATCGCCCATAATTTATGCATGCTACCTGCTCCTATAAAAACACTTGGCGAAAAGGTAATGGCTGAACTGCTACTTTGCTGCACCGGCACACGGCCAGTTGGAGCATGAAAGTGCCTGTGAAACCCATCGAGGGAATTGCCAGCATGGAAACTAGTCCCCTGTGGACGGTTCTATGGATGGCCGCATTACTGTACTTGAACTTTGGTTAAATCTGCATTTGTTATCGTTCACAATTTATTATTCTTTACTATTTTCAACTGCCATTCACTTCGAAAACCCCTATGGTATTTGTTGTACAATACATGTACTGAACTGTTTTAGGCGATCTGGATATATAACTTAATCAGACCAGTCAGTTGGACTGTGCCTCGTAGGCTCGAGGAATAAACCCTTTATTTATTTATATTATTCGTTTATTTATTAAGCGCCTGCCAACCTTTACGACTAATCACATGGCTGACTCTGAACAAGCTCCCATGGAATATATGCTGCGCCGTGGAGTGTTGATCGATAAAGGGAAAATCGGCCAGCTCACTTTGCTTGTCTTTTTTATACATTCCCAAGGCTGTTCCACAGCATATGATTCCTAAGGAGCAGGACACGATTATCAGGATTTTGCCAAGTATATTCATGTCTGAAACTGAAAGGGACGGAAAAGAACGTGTTTTAGCATGGAATTGGTACATCATAAATTTTATTGAACACACGATGATAGACGATAGCAAAACTTTTCACTGAAGGATCTCCTTCACCAGCGAGGCCACTTGTATTTCCAAATGACTGGATTTCACAGTTTATAGCATGTGTAAATCTAATATCTTGCTATCATATACACCAAGTGCTCCTTTGTTGCTTGGCTGACAAAGCGGCTTAATGAATAATTGTCGTTTGCTTGAATGGGAAACATTATTTGCCCTGTTGTGCGCTGTTCGTAGCTTATTAAATCTTAAGCCTACCAACCTGACGAGCATCGGTGGGTGGATCAGATTGAAAGTGCAAACCGACTCACATTGCCAACACTACTAGCTTATCCGTCAACGTCATGACGCACAAAGGAACACCTGGACTATTCTCACTATGATTGAATCACCTGAGTTGACATCACGAACACCATAGTTAAGGTCTCGGATAACGCGGTTATCGCTCCTGTTCGCTATACAATCCCACCCCAATTGCCCACTATTTCACCTGGTCTGACGAAGCCCTTGTGTCGAGGGCGAAACGTTACCAAACTACTATACCAACAGCTTGTTTCCAGACCTGTCTGAACTCATAACTACTTGATCAGTTCCAAGTAGCTTCCAAGAATTTGAATCCTTATACTTTAAACTTGCGTGCTTGAAGCTTTTGCGCTTTGCGGGTAGAACTGGTTTTGGTGAAAACCTTTTGTGTTCCTTAAACCGAATGCCAAAACCTGAATACTTTGTCCACCCTGCATCAATGACATTGCCCAGTGTTTTATCTTACCCTTCTCTTTCTTGCTGGTTGAAATTAATCCCAACGTACCCAAGACAGATTTTCGCAAATTCCTCCACTTAACAGTGTTTAGGCGACGAATAGTGAAACACTATGACAGGTGAAAACGTATCAACTGAAAACAGTTGGCAGGTTAGTCAAGGAGGCAATTTCGACAGCAGAATCTGCATGCAAACGGACCAAAACCAGAGAGCATATTGGTATATTATAAGCAAGCTTGGGGAAGTGGGAGACGACTCCCTGAGGAGTAACTATCATACTACTACTACTACTCCATCACAACAGCATACGGCGAATTACAATGAGCTACCATAATATGCATCGAAACCTCTAGATTGTCAACAGTAATCCCGTGTCTTTCTTGTAGAGCCCGGATAGCAAACAAGCAATTTTTCTATCATTCATCATCAGGCTAAATAAAACAGATTTACATCTTCACCATAAAACTGGGTACAGCACGTAGGTAGGAATGTAGTTGCAAGTTGAATGTACAAGGAAAGCTTGTTTATGTCACATGTGTACTGCAGATCAGGCCCTAACTCACTCAATAGAATGAACACACATAAAGGCACGCACGCACGTACACACACCAAGTTTATCGTATCCCACTTAATGCATGCCAGACGTCTTGTCAGTTATCAAATACACAGTGTCCTGTCCAGACTTGTTCTCCATAGCGTAGATTTTGAGTCATATAGAGCATACGTTCTCATACATTTACTTACTGTGATTTATCCGTATCATTTGGCGACGGCTCATACCATGTCAGTTGTGAATGCACCCACGTAGTTCTGGTTATGTGCTACAGAAATGCTATCTATGGCCAGTTGGAATAGATAGCGGAAAAGCTTCTCTGACTACCTGGAATTACTTTCATTCCTGAATCTATTAGTCCCACTTCCATAGAAACACAAGATCAAACTACTGCGACAGTTCCTGGGTGATGAAGGCCAGCCATACTTCGACGCTTTTCTGGTTGACGAGGTCTGTGTAACCACAACCGGTGCCTTGGATACGTTATTACCCTCTGGGGTGTTTGACAAAGCGTGTTTACAGCCAGGTACTATTTTTCCAAACTCTGCCAAAACCCGAAAGAAGGTGTAAATGAGTTCATCACTTTCATACACTAGGCTACACCTGACTACAGATACAATGAAGTTGATCCGGCGAAATTCGTAGAAACAATGTTACTCAACGCCTGATGGCCGTCATATCAGTCCAGAATACCCGGGGAAAAATCCTCTCACAGGATGACAGTACGCTTACTTGGGAGACTGCTGATAAGGTATGACTGACGAGTGATAAGCTTGTGTGCGGGCATAGATTAGCTTATAGTTCTGCTTAGTAGATTGTTGTGCACGAAAAGTCAAATGCACGAACCTAAGTAATAAGGTCGCTCCGGTAAACAAACTACAGTAATCTGACAAGTGTCTAACTACATGAGTACATTAAGGTGTCGCAAGGAGAAGAATGAACCAACAGAGAAACAGAGAAATATACACTTATGTGTGTATGCCTGGTGTTTTGTGCACTTCTCTGTCTAGACTAGTCATCAAGCACGCTGCCCGAATAAACAACATCACCTATCCGCTTAATCCTGTAACGCGTCGAAACCATATCGATATGGTGGTCTTAGTTCTCGGCCCCTTCCTGCGGAGCTGCGTACTTTGTGTAGTTTCGTCAGTGAAAGTTGTTGGCACATGCTTTATTAGTCTGCTACTTGTGAATAACCTCAGTGCGTTGACTGTGCGGCCATCCTCCAGCTGGTAAGTGCCTGACCCATATGCACACGTTTTTCTTACCGGATCTAATAGCGTGAGCGGTCCTTTTGGTGCAGCGTTGATCTTCACGCGCATGTATGTTCCGGACTGGAGCGGAGTGGTAAGCTTCCAGTAAGTGGTCTGTTATCGATGGCGACGATCTAATTCATTGGAATTATTGGTTGCAGGAACCGAAAGTGCGGCATTCAACTTTGTCCAAAGGGAAGGTCCAAGCATCAATTCAGCTGGCGTTTTGTCTGTGGCTCGGTGGTGTGCGTTTCGGTAAGAAAATAGTGCTTGTAGAACGGCATCCTCCCAACCTGTAGCAGATAAGCGAATAGTTTGGATACTCTGTTTCAAGGAGCGATTGAACCGCTCTACCATGCCGTTGGCCGCTGGATTATTCGGCGTTGTACGTGAGTGCCGGATAGCGTGAAGTTGAAGGAACGAAAGAAAACCGTTTCTTGCGAACTGCTGGCCGTTGTCAGTCACTATCTCCTCTGGTAACCCGAAGCGGGAAAACATGCATTTCAGCCATCGAATAATACTGGCCGTAGTCACCTCTCCACACAAATGGACTTCTGGCCATTTACTGTAAAAGCATGTCGTCACCAAACAGTTCCTCTGATGCTGAGGCGCTGAGCTAAATGGATCCATAATTTCAAGAGCTACCTTAGCCTGTAATTGCATCGGATAGTCAATGAGTTGTAAAGGAGAGCAAACCGGCCTTGAACACTTGTCTGCCCTTTGACATGAAGAGCAGCCATGAACAAGTTTTCCTATTTCTTGTGACGTTCTTGGTCACCAGAAGCATGCGTCAACCTTGCGTTTCGTACGAATGATACCAGGGTGGCTTTCGTGAGCATATAGCATGATCATCCGCATCAAGCTCCGAGGAGCCACAGATTTCATGCCCCGCGTTAAACATCCAACTATAAATGAAAGTTCGTGCCACAACACGTAGTACGGACGAAACTAGCCTGTGATCTTGTTAGTTCTTGGCCAGCTGTTTAGCATAAAGCATTGAACGCGGAAGAGTGTGTCCTCTTTCATAGTCGCCTTCTAAAGTTCTTCCTTAGTAAGGGCTGAGATCAGTTCATTACTCACCACTCATTAACCTCCTCATTATTTTCAGTTTCTTTGCGTGGAAGTTGAGAGAGCCCATCCGCTACCTGGTTTTCGCGTCCGGGAAGGAATTTAATTAGAAAAGCGTATGTTAACAATCGTGCATACCAGCGATGTATCCGAAGTGGCCTGACGACATTTGTTCCCCAAGTAAGTAAGCTAGTTAGCGCTGCGTGGTCTGTACGAAGAGTGAAACGTCTTCCGAACAAGAACCACTTCCACTTCCCACAGGTCCAAACGCAGGCAAGGGCCTCTTTTTCCTAGGCGGAGTAAGAAAGCTCTGCTGCCGACACTTTTCTGGAAGCGTATGCAATAATTCCTTCATGCCCATTCTGAATTTGAGATAGTACAGCACCCAACCCAATGCTTGTTGCAGTAGTAGAGACAATCGTTGGGCAATTCTCGTTGAAAATCGTCATGACTGGTGTGGAAGCAATGCGGCGTTTCATCACGTCAGATGCGTTTTTGGGGCGTGACTCCAGACTAATACACCTTTTTCCTTTGTCAGTTAACGCAGTTGATATACATTCAGATAAGGCAGTGTCTAGGGGATGACTTGTATCGGTCAGTAACTTAGAAGTCAGCATTTTACAAGAACTGATGTGTGTAGAAATAAGTGTTGCTAAAAGTGGACATCGGAACACCGCTACGACAAGCTAACGGTCTGACAATTAACTTAAAATGCTTACCTAAAATACCAGGAAGTATCACAGGGGAACAGCACGTCCAATGGGGAAGAACACATGCACTAACAAAGCGAAAGATCAACTTACGAGGAAGGTAGGAGGCTCTGAGCCGATAGACATAAGATGACAGCCTTCTGATTTTCGGGAAAGTTTCATTTACTTAAAGCTTCCAAGATAAAACGTAACGTCAAGTCGCACCCAAAAATGTTACTGATGTTGAAGACTGTAATCCGTCGCCAGCAATATGTAACTTGTTGCATAGTGTAAGAAGCTACTCATCCTGGGTCCTTTGCGTAATAAAATGTGAATGTCATGTCACTTTGACGCATTAAGAGACAGATCAGGATATTTGGACCAGGTATTAAGATCTTTCAGTAGAGCTTGTAATCTGAATGAACAATCGGCGCTTTGGCAATTGATGCCCCGGACGCATATGTTACCAGAGTCGTTTCACTTGGAACTGGCATAGACTTGACTTAAGTAGGAAAGGGAAAAGATGACAGAAATGCTCCCTGAAGGACATCTGCGGTGTTGAGTACTGAGGAGGAGCGTCTGCCCCTGAGTCGGGTGATCTGAGTGCGTTCAAC